TTTGGTGGTCCTATAACAATAAAGGTTATAAGCTAGTACCTATTTATAAAATTAGCAAAAGCCAAAAATTATTTATTAACTTATCTACCTTCTAATAAGCACTAAAGTATAAGACGTAACTAAAAAGTAATATGTATAGTTTAAGTCATATAATATCTATATTATATAGATATGTATATGATTCAAAAGGTTTATGTTATACGTTTAAACTAAATTTTAATAATATTTAGTATTTACTACAAAAACAAATAAAATAAATAATAATACAAAACATTCAAAACGATAAATAATGTAAGCAAATTAGAAAATATGAATTAAAAACCTTAAGAACAATTATTTTTGATTTCTCTTTTCTGACTTTTTTTACTTCATGAAGATGTAATAAACAATATTAATTTAATAAAAATAAAATAAAAATATAAAAATATAAGAAAAATGCAGCTAATATTTTAAGGATTATTTTTATTAACAAATTATCAAAATATATTTGTAATTTTAAATTGAAAACTTAATTTTATTAATGTTATATTATAAATAAATAAATTAAGACCGACAGAATCCTTTTGAAAAAATACCAGAAATAATTAAATAAATTTGTATGTCATTGTGAGCATCCATAAGTGCTGAATAATTTTTAAGAATATACCAGAGGTTTTGGCTTTACTATTAAATTGTTTTTCAAAATCTGAATTAAGTGATGACACTTAAGCTTAAAAGTTAAAACATAAATAATCATATAATATAAGCAGTTATATCATTGAAAATTGTATCAATAGATATTTTATAGTAAACTCAAGAGAATGTAAATGATAAATAGACAGCAATTTTAAAATATGGCCAAAATTGTACCTTAGTACAAATAATAATAATAAATTAATAATTAGCTATCTTTTATAAATAAATTTTAATTTTAATAAATTATTATTATACTATAATATCATATTATATTAGGGTATTTCAGAACCCAAGATAACTGACTATTAGTAAAGCAACTTACTATTGGGGGGTATATGTGATGGTGTACCCGGCATCCAATTGTTACATGATTCAGTCTTAACCTGTACTTGAGAATTTATACCAATTTGATGACTAGGACGTTGTTGCTGTTGTAGTGTAGGCCGAAACAAACCAATATCTCCTACAAATAATTATGTTCTACTAATAACTACACATGCAAAACTATAATAAAATTCTAAAACACAAAATAATTCGTCTCAATACTAAATATTTGGAAATATAGAAAATATTAACCTATCATTACCATGCAATTAATATTTTATGAATTTAATTATATTTTCATAGTTAATTCTTACCAGCAGCTTGAGGGACAGTTGATTGTTGAGAAACATCAGTGGCTGGATTTTGTTGGTGATATAAAGGAGGTAAGTGATGTTGTACAGTCACAGCTGGGCTGTTTCCAGATACATCGCTGTCCATATTGGAACTGCTAACTTGACTAGAACCAGGTGGTGAGGGAGACATTCCTCCCCCACCAGCTGTATACTCATCTCTTAGGCCAATTATTCGGCCAGAACCATTAGTAGATGTACCACTTTGTAGCGTTAGACCACTTAAATCTAAACAGTTACTAGACTTAATAAATAATCATAATAATATAAGTAAACGATTAATATTTACCTATGCCTGGTGAGACAACCCGTTCATAATGATACGGATTAACACACACAGAATCACATTTTAAGTCAAAAGCATATTGACAATACTTTAAGTGCTTGAGTTCATTTTTGTGTAAATCTGGCCATCGCCAGATTCTTGCATATATTACATGTGGAAAACCTTTACGCCCAGCTACCTATAACAAAATAAAATTTAGATTATAAAAAATAATCGTTATTTATGTAATAGGTACTTAATTGATGTTTGAGATATTTAATTTCTAAAATAATAATTAGAACCTGCAAATACCAAGTACATTTAGGTTTTGCTAATAACAAATAACTATTCAATAAAACCAATAAGTAATTTTTCAATAATCAAATTCAAATATAATCACTCACCTGCAACCGACCGTCTAATGTTCTTTGAATTGTTACACATTTACTTGGATGTGAACCATTTGTGGTTATAGCTAGAATAAGACTATCTAATTCATCTCTTTTTTCCTAAGTAATTAGTAAAACAAAATTATTATAAATTATGAATATATAATTATAGGAATACAGGTATTGAAGTGAATATTATCATAACAGTATATCTAGATAAGATACATCTACTAAGATGTACAACTTAAATTAGGCAGCTCAGGTAATAGCGAAACTTAATTTAAATTGTCCATTTAATAGTTACCTTTAATTTTTTAACCAGTGACTCAATGGCTCGTTTGGCAAATCCTTCGCTTTCCCATCCCTGTCGATGGCACATCAAACTGTGTACTATACTCAAACAGGCATCAGCTGACGTCGGTGCACTGGTTTGTTGCATTTCTCTGGCTTAAATTAAGAAAATAAACTAGGTACTATGTTGAAGAAATACAACTACTCCGGAGTGTACGACAGTTAAATGACAAAATGTTACAGGGACTGCTGTCACAGTTGGTCTGCGGTCGAATAACTCCGCAAGGGACTTAATATTTTATCATAATTTATGGCGATAAATATGTGCTATATTAATATTGTTATTCATTCGTATTTAGAAATACGAATTTCAATTTTTATAGGTTAGGTATTTTATATAAATCTGTAACTATTTTGATCCTCGATTGATTCAGACAGATCGGTCATCGGTGATCGCAGACCAGGTTCGTCTGCGATACCTCCGAGTGTCCAGACCATTGACCAACACGGACGGACGATGGCTCGTACGCATGAGGCCCCCCCACCCAGTGATCGTGCACGCATCAATCCTCGATCGCGTCCCCCAGGCCACCGTACAGGTACGTCATTCTAGTCCTATTAAGTGTTCAAGTCGAACACCCGAAGTCGTTAGAGCCGACGATCACCACCTCAAACAGAACGGACTAGACCAATTATGGGCAATAGAACGTACTTGGTTGAGGAGCAGGCGGGTGTTGTATTTGTGTTGGTTGAGGAGCTTGTGCATACTGCTGTGACATCATGTGCGCGTCGGTTTCCATTTGACGGTTTCGAAATTAATTAATCGCACCACGGAATTAAATAAAAACAACAAAGAAATATCAGATAACTCCCAATCGCGAAATTTCGCACCACCAACATTGGGTTGTTGTCAATGTTGTAGTCGGTTTATTTTGTATTATTATATACTTGCGATGGGCGTGTTTTCGTCAAGGGTTTCCCAAACGCAATTTGCTCGGTAGTTGGCGCGCTTATTTACGAAAATCTACCGGTGAACGGGGCAAGTGGAATGGGCCTCGTATGTCCATTTTTTGCTATATTGTTTTAACAAATCAGTCTTCGAGAATTTAATCTATCGCATCCGGTGTGGCATTGCCGTTTCTGAACTATAGTTTGAGCCTGCCTGTAAACAAAATTAATGGGTCCCCTGGGGGATGGTAAATTGGTAAAGACTATGCAAAAATTATTCTGCATGAAGGTATTATATATATACACATAATATGTGGTTATTGAAGTAGAGAAATAGCCCTTTTAACTATGAAAAACTTACCCTGGGTCCATCTACCTACCCCACGAAAAATGTTTGTTAAACTTTCATTTTATTAGTTCTACTTAATAAATAAATATAAAAAAATAACAGAATAATTCACAGTAAATTATTATATAATTATATTCTAAAAAATCATCGTAATAGTTTAAATATTGGGGTATAGATGGACTGAATTTTAATAACACAATTTCATATTTAATTATTTACCACCACAATATTATACTCTAATATACATTATTTACCTATAACAAAGTTATGTAAATAAATTGTGGTCGATAAAGGTTGGTCTGTGATCGTACCTTGGCATAGACTTCGCACCCCTATGATTAGTTGACGCAGCTACGTCAAAGTTCAGGCTTTTGACAAATCGCATATCATAGTTGGATAAATATTTAAGAATTTAGAATTACTGCTACATGGTGGCAGTCCGAATAGGTAGCTGTTTTATGAAGTGAAAATTCATGTAAAAGTGTAGATGGGTATCTTAAGATGACGCCACTTGATGGTAAACCATTATCTGTGTTTTGTTGGAAGATTTTTACGATAATTCAATTTTTAAGTGAGTTATGAGCATTTTTAATTTAAATTTATCATACACACATAACTCACTTAAAAACAGAATTATCGTAAAAAAACTTCCAAAAAAACCGTCAAGTTTCATAATAGGTCCAATCACTCTAGTTTTTAAGCCAACAGCATAAAACTTGAATTTCAGAGCGTAAATTTGGTATGTTACGGGTTTGTAAGACGGAGACAACATATTATGCGGGTGTGACCTCCTCTTAATGCCCTTTATTTATAATAAAATCTAAGTGTTCTTATAAATTGGGTATTAAATTTAAAATGTTGCTTTATAGACAAAAAAGTTCACACAGTCACTGCTACCTCAACCACAACACAATATTAATATTGAGCAAATTAAAGTTTATGAACATGGTCACAATACAATGTATTTAGGTATTTATGAAGAACAAAGCAAAAATAACTAATATTTAAAAACTTTTTAATCATTGTTTATATAAATAAAAAAAATTTAGTTAACTAAGCTAAATTAACAATTTAATATGAAAACATCATAAAATACTAAATAGTAAGCTAAAAATATCTTCCTTCATATTATATCAATAAATATAGCAACAAACCAAGTATTGTACACAATACATAATGACAATTAAAAAAATACATTTTTTGAACAAAATAAGTATAATTTTTTCTAACAAACAGTATAATACATAATTTAGAAAAAAAAAAAAAATCAAAATTGTATTCCGATTTAAAGCAAAAGCAGCAAGTACTTAAAAAATTATAATATTAAAGTATAAAAAATTTAATTACAATTTAATTATCATAGAAAATGTAATCTTAAATATTATATTAAGAAAGACCCTAGTCAACATTTAATTTCGTTCTGATAATATTTTGTTAGTTTTTCTGATATTCTGGTTTTCTCTTTTTTTCTTTTCATGTTTCTGAAATATAAATATTGCATTATCGTATATTCAAGTTGGTTTTTAAAGGTAAAAACGTAATACCATTGACTGTATATTATACAATATAATATACTTAAAGAAGTTATTAATTATCAGGACATTAATATAAAATGTTTACCTTTAAAGCTTTAGGGCTATTTTCCTTCGATGGTATATTGGATTCATACCCATCTAAGGATTGCACACTAGAACTTATAGAAGAAGGTGTGGAATTTGTTACAGATTCACTGAAATCAACTAAATATTTTTGAGTAATATCACGTCTCAATGTCGTGTTAACCCAATCTGGAGTGTCAAATTGTTTTCTTTTCGGTGTTTCTCCTATTAAAAATCATTTAAAATATAATTTTATGAAAATAAATTATTTTTTATTTGACAATCATACCCAATGGTTTGCATTGTTTTGATTCATTCAAAAACATATTTATATTTGTTTCTTGTCTGAAGAATTCTTCTTTAACACATAAGCTTCCTGTACCCAAACTATCATCCTGTTTTTCTCTGAGAACTGAAAAATTTGTGTGAAAATCTTTTGAAATATTTCCAAAATCATCCATAGTTTTTTTAGCATCCAGAAGTGTTTCTGATACACCGTTCGTTGTTTTCTGAATAATTAAAATTAAAAATTAAAATTTGTTTACTCTACAAAATTTAATATTTAAATATAATACCAAAATGTTATCATTTGCCGTTTCTACATGAGTTTTTATTTCTTGGGTCAAATGATTTAATTCTTTATTTATTACAGTTGAAATTGTTGTAAGTTCATCCTTGTTACTGCTACACTTTTCTGATAATGTTTTTAGTTGAGCCCCATCAGTTATGGTGTTCATTATAACACGACTCTTTACAGAAACAAAATATTTCACAATATAGATAGTAAAAAAAAGGTATCTACAATTTAAAAACTTAAATATATTATAGATGAATATTTTAACTTACCTCATTTGTATGATTTTCAATTGGTTTGAGTAAATTAGAATTTTGTAAATGTATTCTTTCCAATGTTTGTAAACATGGCACCAAATCTTTAATACCTTTATCTTGGTTTGTGAACATTTCTGATATTTCATTATTTTGAGTATCAAAATCTACATTTATTTCATCATACGTTTTGGTCTCCTCGATATTTTGAATATCTTCTAAGAATTGAGTATTGAATTGTTGACATTGTAAACTATAGTTAAGAAACTGGTCCTTGATCTTTTGGATTTTCTAAAAATATAATATTTATTATAAATCGGTTATATATTTTTGTTTTTATTTTAGTATAACAACTTTACTTCTAATGTTTTTTGTTTTTCCAAATCCAATGATTCATAGCATTTTTTTGAACGGTTAATATAATGGTTTTCAATGGATTTATTGAAAGTCTCTTGAGTAGTCAAACGATACTTAATTTCAAGTAGCACATCATTTATATTTTTATTGTAAGATGTTGTCTAGAATAACAATATTTTTAGTAATTTATATCAAACTAAATAATTTCCTATTCAACAATAATATAAAATTGCCTTTTATTTTAAATATATATTTCTTTAAAGTTAGATTATGAATTCATTAAAACCTGTGACATTTTCAGTACGGCTCACAATTAACATGTATTTCTTCAAAAATGTTGATTAAAATAAATAATTATCAAACAAAAATTAATAGTACATTAAATCTTTATTTATTCTGGATTCAGCATTAAGATAAGTAAAGAAATGGTTAAAAAAAAGTATTTTACACACTGGCAATTGCCAATTTGAGTTTGAGACTAGATCTAAACAATTAAAATAATTAAGAGTACCAGAAACAAAAAATCTAAAATTAAAATGAACAACTCTTTGGCCTTCTCCAAACATTTAGGTACAAAAATATTGTTCATACATTTGTGAAATATTAAAAATTAGTAATTAGCTTATCATAAAATACCTCATTAATGTGATTTAAAATTGCATCATGATATAAATCCATGGATGTAGTAACATTTTTAATTGTTTCTGACTTTTCCATTATATTGAATTCTAAAAGTTCCATTTCCTTAAGTAAAATATTTATTCTTTGATCTATTTTATTTTTTCCATTTTCGCCATGATTCAATATGTCCATTACCTAAATAAAAATAATGTTAATTATTAGGAAAAATAATTTTACAAAAAAATTACTTGTTTTTTCATATTTGAGAATATATTAACGGTTGTATCGTTATTATCGTTCATTTTATTTAAAACTACTTGTAGATTATTCTTGATTGAAGTATTTTGATTAAGCATGTCATCTAAAATAAACGATTCTCTAAAGTAAAATAATTATAGCTCTTAAAAAAATATGTTACCGCTGAGTTTATCTTGTGTATCTAAATATTCTCTATTTTTACTTTCAAATAACATTAAAGTCTTTGAAAATGAAGTATTTGTTTCCATTACTCGATTCCTTAATTTCTCAATGGCTGATTCATTTGTTTTTTCGACATCACTAGATAATTTTAAATATTTGAAAATTGCAAATATACATTTGATAAGAAAAATGAAAAATAACAAATTTAACTTACATAGTGCGTTCTATTTTATCATGAAGTAATTTCATGTCATTTTCATAAATTTCAGCCAAGGACCTTAAGGTTGTTGCTTCTTTGTCAAGTTTAACAATGAGACTGTCTCTTCTGTCTCGCTCATCCATTGTTCGTATCAAATCAACTTTTAATTCCCTCATAATTTCCTTAAATATAAAATTGGATTATTATTTAAAATTTATTGAAACTATAAGACCTATTGTAATAAAATGACAAAAGTTGGACGAGAAAGGTTTTTGTTAGGTAGTCAAGTTAAGTATTAATTTTTTCAAGTCTAGTATTTGAATACTTAAGAGTACCGCATGTGTTTTCTCAGTCTTATAAATGTACAACATAGCAAAAACTGTGTTGTGCGGGACAACTATGCACTCTCTGTACTTATAGTAGAATCACCAAAGTTCCACAGCGCATAGGGAAGAACTTTATCTGTATCATAGAACTTTCATTATTTGAATAATATAAATACAATTAAAGTTATCAGTTTGAGAACATTAGGTTTTTTTGTTTTTATTTCGTTTGATTATTAAAAAATTTGTTACCAAAAAAAAAAAACAAAAATCCTAGGTGAGATAAAGTTCTTCCTTATGTGTTGTAGAATTTAGGTAACTTCACTATAAATACAGGGAGAGCATAGTTGTCCCGTTCAAAACAGATTTTGCTATGTTGTACATTTGAAGACAGAGTCAACGCTGTGGGTGTAGTGTCTTCTTAACCTCACTTGAAACGCGTTGAGTACACTGAAATTGAAGGGTTCTTCTATTTTTGGCTTATTTATTGCAATAAATAATAATTAAGACATAGAAAAAAATTTGAAATAATAAAACAAGTCACAAGTATTTGAACAAACATTTTGAACCACACTTTACATATTTTTTAAATCTAGTACCACCACAACTCCTATTAAAATGACAATACATACTTCTTTTTTATTTAATTCTTCATTAACAGCTCGTATTGTAGCAATTTTTTCACAGATGTCTACTTCATTTTTTTCTAATCTCAACACCATATCATTGTAATTTTCTTCAGCTACATACACACCATTTTTATCTCTAGTAGCAACCAAATCACGTTTCAGTTTTTCAATTTCATCAGTATATTCCTAAAATAGTAAATTATTTCAATTAACATGTTAAATATTTCAATTTGTAGTTATCAAATATATATACCCGTATTAATGCTTTTTTTGTAAATTTCTGATTTACTTCTGGCTTATTCTTTATGCTCTTAGCCCTAGAAGCATAGTCTAATGTGCTCATAGTTTCTTCCAAATTACAATGTGATGGGGATATAGTAGCAATAATAGAGGTTTTAGTTTTACCTCCTAAAGAATCTTGCAATAAACGAGTAAGTTTTGATTCTCTACAAAAAAAAATAAAAAAATATTAAAATTGCAATTTATTATAACAAATATTTAACTAAATTTGGTTACCTGTATGGGACATGAGGGGTTTGTTCTACAAGCGATGTGATACAACGACCAAGTGTAAGTAAAGATTTATTGATATTACCAGCTTCACAAGCTCGTCTATCAATTGCACCAGATCGTCCAATATTTTCACTACCAGCCAAGTCTACAAGATTTAACTTTCCAACTCTAACAATATCTTCATTCTCAATAGTTGACTCTTTTATATGAACAGTTATGGTGAATATTGTATGTGAACGACTAAAAATTAATATAAAAATAAGCAAAATAAAATTACACAATTTAGAAAGTATAAATAAAGTTATATATTATTTTACCTAGATTGGGTGTTCATCAATGTTGCAGCTGTTTGTCGTCTTTTCGATCCCTTTTCTAGTAACTTATAGACTTCATTTTTATTACTGACAATAACTTCTTCTAAACCACGTACAATTACTGAACCTTTTTTTTCTTCAAAAATCCTGTTAAAATGTGTTAATTCATAAACATAAATTGTTTAATTGTTTTAAATAGATATTAATATAATTAGGTTTTGTTTTTTCTTTTACCTAAGAGATTTATTTGAAGGTTCTTCTGAACAAGAAAGAAGATCAAAAATGTCTTCATTATAAAGTTCCAAAAATGATGCTCTAACAGTATGTTCAACTTGTAAGAGTCTAAGTTCATCAAACATATGACTTAAAGCTCGCGGAATAATCCCTGAAATTGGGTCCTGAAACAATTTGATAAGAAAATTGTATATTTTTTAAAAATGAGTACTACCACATTAAGTGCCCAAACATTCATATTACAAATATAAGCTAAAATCGGTATCCTACATTGATATTTTTATTAAGGCGCCCGATGCCGATGCCATTTTGTCAACAAAAATAAACACTGCAAGAATAACGAGATCGCCTTGTGGAATCAATCAAATTTCATAATTTTTTTTTTTTAATTACTAGAAGGAAATATTCTACAGCCAGTATCGATCTCTGTTTTTCAATATTTTATTATCAAACTTTATATGTCTAAAAAAATACAAGATAAAAAGCATTTTTTTTAACATAATTATTTGAAATAAAATACAAAAACAGAGATCGATGCAGGATGTAGAAAGTCTTCTTCTTTTAGATAAAAAAATAGTCATCAAATTTCGACAATTCTACAAAGCTTGAGTTATTCCTGTTAAGTAATTATTTTCGATATAATATACCCTATCAACCCACCCTAAATAGGTATCGGGTAGTAGATTAGTGCAAGTCTTATAACTGAGGTGGCAACTAAAATATAAAATTTAATTTTCAAATTTTATAGAATTGTTGGAAATTAGAAAACTGGCACTGGGACCCTTAAGAGTGCGTTGTAAGTCCATGTGTTGCGCCGATCTTACACACGCATAACATGGAAAATCTAAGTGCTAGATGCTTACAGTTTATACTTTATTTAATCAATAAAATTTACATAACATACAACTAAATTTGTTTAGGAGAATATACACTATGCACTGTTTTTATGTTTTTTTTTTTTTTTAAACGAATAAAATGAATTTTAAATTGAATGAATTATTCAAGTTTAGTACCGATAACCAATAATGAAATAAAAATATGAAAAAAAAACTCAGTTGGAGCAGTTGATTGTCTCCTCTACACAATTAATATTACCTAACTATAAATAAATTTTAGTAAGAATCCGGTTAGTAGATTTTTAAATACAATTCACTTGTTTGTATTATATGAATGTTTTTATAATTAACCTATAATATACCGTATTCCAAGATATTGATGATTGTCCATTTAACCTATCACCTTCCATGGTAAAAGTCTTTCCTGTTCCAGTTTGCCCATAAGCAAATACTGTACAATTGTAGCCATCTAAGACTTCTTTAATTAATGGGTATACAACAACATTATAAACATCAACCTAAACAGAAATAATAAAAAATTTAAAGCAGGTTAACAAATAAATAATAAACTATGAATAAATACTTGTTTTGAATTTTGTCCAAAAACTTTATCAAAATGGAATGTTTTAGTACGACGATCAGCTAAAACGGTTTTTTCTGTTACTATAATTTCCTTATGGTTAGATGAAACATCCACAACAGGTAAGCCTTTACTTTTATCTGCATCATTCATAGGCCTTTAAAAAAAAAGAAACACAAAATTAATAATTTATAGGGTAGGTATCTATAATAAACTTCTAGAACAAAAATGTTCGTAGGATGTAGGTTGTAGGTATCCACATAATATTGTACTATAACTAAATATTTTATACCAGGTATATACATATTAAGTTATTAATTTAAACAAATAAAGAGTCTCATTTAACTCCCACGCTATATTTAGTTAATATTTTATTTAATGAGTTATTGCTGTAAGTGTATAATTTCCATCTAAATTACCCACTATCATTCTTGCTTAACAATATTAAAACTATAATTATCAAAAATGTATATTACAAATATAAGTTATTACTTATACATATTAAAGTGTCTTTATTGTTTAAGGTATATAACATTCACTATAATCCTAACTTTATTTTTATTATCTGATATTTTCTATTATGAACCTATAGGTACATAATCCATACTCATTCCTGAAAAATTAAGCTACAATTAGTTTCTGTCTGGTTCTGTTTAGTGTTGAAAGTACATTAAAGTTTAAAAAAAAAAATAATAAAATTGTTATACATAAATTAGGTATAGTTGGATAATAATATTAATCTACAATTTGACAATAAAGTTTAAAAACTATTTTTTATATTTAACTTCATACCTAGGTATTTATTTTGAAGTTGTATGTTTCAGTGCCTATTCTTTATTTGCATGTACCTAGGCTTTTAGTGAGTGGAATAACATTAATGGATTAATGCAAAATATATTTTAAATTCTTTACTAAATATTATTCCTTCGGACCTCATTAGACATACCCAATATTTAATTTTAAAAAAACATTGAAAAAATGAGTATATTGTTTATAAGAAATTATATTGTGTAATTTATACCTCACTCTGACGAAAACTTCAATCGGTTTTTCATTTGATGCATTTTTTTTCTGAAGTAAATGGTCTGCCATTGTCAATTTTTTTTCAAAAAAACAAATTACTATTAATCAAGTCAAAATACGTGTGCAATTATTAAAAAATGATTTATAACAATTAGAAGTTATAATAATTGTTATGAATTTAAATCAATTTTATGGTTATGAGTTTACAAATACACAATTCACTTTGCACAACACGATTCAAACTTAACCGACAGCCGACATTGATAATAAGTAACACAATAATTCACTACTCAGTCTTCAAGTGAGAGTATGAGTGTCAGTGTATCGTGTTCACGCATGAGTATTGTGCATCAGCATTCAGCATTGCATTGGCAAATGACTAGGACAATGGGAACATAGAATCTCGATATCTGACCGTTAAAACTTGAATTTTGTAAACAAACATTTACCGACCAACCAACACTCAGTATACAATCATTGTTCACAATTGTCCGCCATATTGCAAAAAAATTATCATGGCTAATAAAATATAAAATACGTTATTCGATAGTGTCATATTGAATTAGGTTTAAGCATAACATTTTTTTTAAAATTATTATGGAAAGGTCCGTTATAAAATTATAATGCAACACAGTTATTTACCATTCTTTCGTCTATTATTACCGCTAGATAGCGCTCGACACTATATACTTTTGATTGTCTTTGTGGAGTTAGTACTGGAGTAACAGGTGGTAACGGAAAAAAACAACAAACAACAACAACAAAATTCCACTACCCCGTGGTTCACCGTACCAATTCGTACAATTCGTAATACGTTAGCAATTAGCAATACGACAGTACCTGTACCACAACTCACAAAGCACAGATAATTGGCAATACAAATATACAATAGTACATGCGTTCCAATCCGTGATTAATATCTAAAATCGTTGATTTTAAAGTATTATTACTATTTACTAGTATTTATAATCAATGCAAAAATGTAAACATTGTGTCGATTGTTCCATAGAGGCATAGAGTAAGAATATGTTCTGACGCTTATATAAGAATATGTTTCAACTATAGACTATTATAATTTATATTGTAGATCTCTCGTATAAATTAATTTTGTACGGTTCCAGTGGCCAATTGTTACAAAACCTATTTATGCCACTAGTCCAGGGGCGGACCACGGACCCATGCCCACTAGAAATGTTATGTTTGGGCCTCAAGCTATATTTGTTATTTGTAATGTTTTTTTTCAATGCCACATCGTAATAGTTACCGATATAATATTTATTATAGTACAAAACGAACGAAACAATACAATTTATAAAAATAAAACAACTGGGAGTTGGGACAGTCTGACTACTACAGCCGCGATGGCTATACAAATTATTATTAGATTCATTTTAGAATTATTAGAATGATACACGTTATGACTCATGGCATCATGAAATTTTATTCTTATCTGTTTTATTTTCTAATTTTTTCGATGGTTCGTCCAATATAAATCGTTATAATTATATTATGAGTATTTTCCAAATTCTTTGTATTTACTATATTTAGTATTTACTCCTGTTAAGTTTAAGAGGACGCCCACATGTGTCGCCTTTGTCTTCCAAATGTAAAACATAGCAAACACTGTTATTATATTATTATAATCATAACCTCATAAACTCATAACAATATACCTAAGAAACGATTTTGAAACGATAAGAATTTTTTTCGTATAAGCACGAATTAAGATAATATACTGGATATGGAACGCAGTGCCTTATAAACTCATATTTCGTTGCGATAACTTCTTACGTTACGGCTAGACCGCTAGAGCTCTATAGGATTGTTCTGTATTAACCGGGAGAATAAGGAACTAATAAATAAATAGTTCATTATTCTCCCGGTTAAGAGGACGTGACACCCGCAAGTGTTGTCTTCCTCTAACAAGTGCATAACATAGCAAATTATACGCAAAGCAGAACACGTGAAGCTCCGTTACCTTAAAAATTAGAGTAAATTGACCTCTTATAAAATCTAAAGGTAAGATTATTATCTAGACAATCTCATAAGCTTTTTATTATATTTTAATTTTTAAGAGAGTTTAAATTATAAGTACTTTATAATGTACAAACAATTTATAATTTTAAAATACTCATAGCTCGCTTTAAAATTAAAATATAATAAAAAGCCCATGAGGTTGTCTAGATAATAATCTTACCTTTAGATTTTATAAGAGGTCAATTTACTCTAATTTTTAAGCTAACGGAGCTTCACGTGTTCTGCTTTGAGTATAATTTGGTATGTTATGCACTTGTAAGACGAAGACAACACATGCGGGTATCACGTCCTCTTAACACAACAATCCTATAAAGAGCTGTGTTTCTGGTTTCATGCCATAGTCCATAGACATAATATAGTATATAATATTATGTCTATGCCATAGTCCAAGAAGGTTTGACTATCAACTCATAAGCGCCCGTTCCATATCCAGTATAATATCTTAATTCGTGGTATAAGGGATATCAAAAAAATAAAATTCATATTGCACAGCCAAAGTTCTCCTTATTATGTGGTCTCAATGTCGTTTTTTAGTTATGATTGTAGCCGGTTCTATCCCGCGTAAAACCGTTTTTGCTATGTTGTCATTTATAAGACAGATACAACATAATAATTTACATTTCTAAAATACTCATAGCTCGCTTTAAAATTAAAATATAATAAAAATACCATGAGTCTAGATTTTACCTTTAGATTTTATAAGAGGTAAATTCATTCTAATTTTTAAACTAACGGAGCTACACGTGTTGTGCTATGCGTAGAATTTTCGCTCTATGTTACACACTTGTAAGGCGGTGACAACACATGTGGGTATCACTTCCTCTTAATATTTATTGATTATTGCTATTCCGAATTCCAATAATTTCATCATATTTTGTTCATGTCGCGTTTATGTGATTGATTCATTGGCGCCGAAGTGTTTAAAGTGTACTATGACATCGTACATTTGTACGTCATCTCCCCTTTTTTAATAGGCAAAAGAATTAGAGGTAATTTATTTTTACATTTTATGTAAATTTTGGATCCACAGCAGTATTCCCTGCAGTAACCTACGATGGGTAACCATCTATAAAATCTACCATGTCATGTCGTAGATAAATTAGGTGATCGGCGCCACTGGTTTGGTTGTATACTCAAAACTCAAAAGCATACAGGTAAATACTAAATAATGTATTACTTGTATATTTTCAAGAATATTTTATCTTTATTCATATTTGTAATCGTAACCGCACCTACGTATTCGTATTTTTTAGATTCTGAGTGAAACGATTCGTGAAACGAAATTCATGAATTTGTACTCAAAATCTGTTTTCGAAAAAACAGATTTTGGTTTTTGGTGCAACTCTTAAACAAATTACCGTAGGTACATGACATTTTGACTGAATATTTATATTAGCATTTTCTATACACCATAACATTTTTCAAATATATTTACTTATTTTGAGCTCTTTAAGGACATTTTCAGTTTCCATTTTTTTTAGTTTTTTTTTCTATAAATATCAATAAAATTGTATTTGTTGGGTAAAAAAACTTGAAAATTTAATGCAAGGCTCCTGATTATTGTTACAATAGCAGTTGAAAAATATTAAAAGTACATAGGCACAATTTTTTTTTATAAGCATTTAAAGATTGAATGTTGACAAAATTTATCAAATTTATAATGTAATAATTATTTTGTAGTTAAAAATGTATAAAATGTTAAACTTTTATAGCCAAGGATTGAAAATTTAAAACAAGGTTCCACTTAAATAGGTTATATACTTATATATAAATTACTTTATTCACAATAATATCATTAAATAATAAATATACTTTGTAATATCATAGGCTGACTGACCGTTTTCGCTCAGAATCGTTTTTCTTATACAATGATATTATATCATTGAATTCAAATTTAACACCATCCATTAGAGTGACCAATTTGTAACCTACTGTACAGCAGAGCCACTTTTTGAATATTAAACCTAGTGTTTTTGTAATTATTGTATAATGTTGCCATGTTGGGCACTTTACTAAAATTGTAGATTTTAAAGAAAACTATCACATTTTTAAAAATAATCGTATTATTATTATTACACCCAAAAGAAAATCGTTCAATGTTTTAATTAAATGTATCTTTTATCAAAATATGTAGGTACATTTTATGGCCGTGATGAGTCTGTAATCTCCCCTTGAGCCCTTATAAGTTAACAATTTATATAAATAAATAATACCTAAAATTAAATTAAACAAATTGTATAATAATTTTAATATTTTATAATACAATAAAATTATTGTAACAAGAGTTGCTTGTTTGCTAGTTTGCAAACTTATAAGCAGTACCCGGGCCTTCAGGGCCTCAGTCCGCCGCTGTGACTAGGCAATAGCCAATACTTCTAATATTTGTTTAACCGGTTCACACTATCCGTTAGAAATGCGTTTGTAAGGGTAAAAGTACTTACGTTTAAAACAGATGCGCCTTAAGAGGACGTCTCACCCGGATGTATTGTCTCCGTCTTACACACTTACGACATATCAAATTTTCGTTTGCTAGTTTCGATAGGGTATTGTCAGTTTTGATATTAGAGTGAATCAACCTATTATCAAACTCGGTTTTCACGATATTTTAATTTTTAAGTGAGTTATGAACATTTTAGAATATGAATACTTTAAATACCCATAACTCACTTACAAATTAAAATATCGTAAACCAACTAGAGAACACAGATACTGTTCTTACTTAAAAGTTTGATAATGGTCAATTCACTCTATTATAAAAACTGACAATATCCTATTGAAACTAGTCAACGAACATTTGCTATGACGTATGTGTGTAAGACGGAGACAACACATGCGAGTGAGACGTCCTCTTAACGGCCAGACTATCCGTTTTTGTCTATACCTCCGGATACCATACTACTATAGACCATAGTCGATAGTCTGTATATACATGTAGTACTGTGATCTCCTTTAAGATTACAAAGATACTAGATATTATCAAGTATAATACTGAAAGTACCTAACTAACAAATTTATAAAAAAAACTCGGTGGACAGGCCGAGCTGAATGCATTAGAACAGTGTGGACATATTTTTTAGATGCAATTATTGACACATTGGAATATATCAATAACAAAATAGTTTTATACTTTTATGTATCATTCTTTATACTATAATCCAGAAAAAAAAATATGCAGGAATCCAGGATCTACTAGTAGTATAATCATGATATAAGTACCAACAGTTAGTTATATCATGAGTATAATACCGAAGACGTCACTATAAAGTATAAACTATAGAGTGTATCGAGCAGGTGCGTAATTCAAGGTTTTGAGTGGGAAAGGGGGCAACATTTTTGACTGGCCCATAATAAAACAGAAAAAAAAACTACTCGCTAACAATAAATTACATTACATTACATTACAATTGCATTTCTATCTCAATACAAATAGCCTTCTTGCATAATCTTATACTTACTAGTTATTAGTATCATAGGCATAAATAACCCATTTTTTATACCTAAATATCTTATCTTATCTTATTAAGATATCATTTTTTAAATTCCATGGAATTTTGGCCTTTGGTGAGTGGTCACATCAGATTTTAAATAGAAAAAGTTATTCCTAAATAGCCAAGTTTGGAAAGGTTTGAAAAATCTTTTTTTCGAAATAATTATAATTGAACTTTAGGAAGTATATTTAATTACCTAATTACCGCTTTTGGTAGCTTTTATAACTATGTAAACAAAAATATATTTTATTTCCCATGACGCATTAGAATTTGAGTGAGTGTGCGAGAGTTAAAATCGACAATGGATTACACACTAATGTTCATTTACTATTCACACACTGACACAGCCCAATTGTACATGTCATGTGAATTGCCTAAATATTACTCCTTAAAACAACTATGCTCTTGCAGCATAGAGGTTCCAGGGGCCTCATAAAATCGCGTTTTCTTTGTCAAAAACTACAGCTGTTTCTAATTCCAACGATACTTGTCAAAAATTATCACTATTTTCATTCTGAAAAAGTATTCGAATTTTCCGTAATATGTACGAGGATTCTATAGAGCCCATTTTTTAATTTTTGTATTTAGATTGAACATTTTCGAAAATTTGCAAAATGTCCAACTTAAAGGCGACTATAAAAAAAAGTGGGTAAATGGATTTTACATTGCTGTACAGTATGTTACAAGTTTTTGACCTAGCAAATAAAATTTTATTGACATCTACAGAAAAAAACCGGAACAAATTGAAAATTGAAAATGTCCGTAAACAGCTCAAAAAGAGTCAAAATATTTTGAAAATTGTATCAAGTATAACAATTGATAAAATAAACACGTGGTGTAAATTTCAAGTGTCTACAGTTATTCGTTTTTGAATTTCAATAAAATTAGAAAATCATTATATGAGAAATCAAGTGAATATACAATATTGTAAAAATTTGACTTCGAACGCTCATAAAAATTTAATTTGACATTCCGGTAGACAAACTTTTGAGGAATCTTGTATTAAATTTTAAAATCTGTGATTTAAAAAGAAAAATGTTTATACATTTCTAACTCAAAATAATTTGCACATTTTCGTGATTTCTACGTATTTTTTCAGAATCCAAACTGCTTTAAATTAAATGCTTCTAAAAAAATTGTGACTTTGTGTTTTTAATATTTTCAACTGCCATTATAACAATATTTCAGAAGTCTTGTATTACATTTTCACGCTTTTTGGCGGAACGAATAAAATTTTATTTACATCTATAGAAAAAAACTTAAAAAAATTGGAAACTTAAAATATCCGTTAACAACTCAAAACATTTTGAATATTTTATGATGTATAGAAAATTCTAATATAAATGTTCAGTTAAAATTTCATATATCTCAGGTTATTTTTTCAGAGTTACGCCAAAAACCAATATCGATTTTGTAAAAACCGATTTTGAGTAAAACTTCTCGTTTTTCCTTAATTTGTTTATTGTTTTCCCGCCATTTTTGAAAACTACTGGAATTAATAAAAATAAAAATAAATACATTCATCGCTCCGCTCTGAATCTAAAATGTTTAAATGTGCCTCGATTGATCCCTCGTACATGTTTTGGAAAATGAGAATATTTAGTGTGAGTGCAAATCGAGGTAATTGTTGCGACGAGTCTATTGTTGGAATTATTATAGTTCTGTTTGAGTTTGTCTGAAAATTAAACATGTTTTTCGCGATCACAAAATTATTATTATCTGGAAAGTGACATTTGAGTGCGAGTGTTTGTGAGATCCTTCAGTACCGTTACTGCTAATATCAAATAGTTAAATCAAATAGTCAATCAATAGTTAATTTGAATGTATTTTATAATTTGTATTTATGTTAGTATTTTCAATTACTATGTATTTTGTATTTGAAATACACGAAGTGATGTATTTTGCCCATCACTGTATATATTTCACAAACAATTTTGGCTAAAATTATCATATTATAATAATTTGTTACCAATTATAAAAAAGTAACTAAGCACTTTCCACCAAGTAAAGCTGCCTCATTCTATAATTTATAAAATATATTTCATTTCAAAGTTAAAGCAATCAATAACTTATTTAGGTATACCATAAAAAGTTACTTGAAATATCCATGTTCGTTTTGTTTAAAAAACAACGTTTCGAACACGTTTCATTGTCTGACCTTGTTCTAGACCTGTTTTCGATATCTTCAGTTGAACCGAAATGGTCATCTTCAGTTTTTTGATGATTTTCTCAGTAATCTTCTCATATTATTAATTATTGATGAAATTCGATTTCTGAAACTACCTAGTTGGTAGAATTTTTAAATATTATTAATTGATTATTGATAATTATTTTTTGGGTAAATTCATTTCATATGAATTATAGGATATTCTAATTTGTAGATAAATTGTTTGTTAAAATTAATTTCTATGAAAACTATTAACATAAAAAGTGTTATAAATAAATTTCTGGGAAAATTAATTCAACTTCAAAAAACCCAATAATCAATTTAAATTAATTTTGGAAACGATTTTCAAACTTAGTTTACGTAATGGTTTCTTAAAAAAAATTATACGGGCGACTGATATTGATTGAATTATCCCCAAACATTTTCTTTGAGATGAACCAATCAATGACAGCTTTAAAAACTATGCAAACTTATTAATATATTATTTTAAAATTAAATTAATATGTACCTATGCAATGTAATCAAACACGAACGGTTTGATATAAAATAAATTCGCATCGCAAGCACTGTTATTAAAAAAAACCTTTTATTTATCTAATCCAATAGCCAATAGGTAGCGGAAATGACCGTTATTACTTATTACTATTTACTATCTAGGTAATTCGAATGTAGTCTAAGTAACGTTAAGGCAGGTAATTAATTATAAATATATAAAAAGAAAAAAATTATATTAAGAGTATATTATATATAAATGTTTTTTTAACGTTATATTAAAAATCCAACCGAGGTAGGTAGTTTGAAGGAAACTTTCTCAGTGTTAAGAATACTATAAAAATAAAATAAAAAAAATAAACAATATACATCAGCACTATGTATATGGCGATCGCAGAACATAATATACAAGTAGTAGACACTTACACACACTCACATACACAATCACACATAGTACATCAATACAATACAATACTATACAATACAATACAATCGACAGCAGGTTGCAGTTAATGTTTTAATATTAAAATATGGTCAAACAATATAATATAGTTCGCAGTGCACAATTTTGTATTCTAGTAGATAGGATAGAAAAGCCCGCCTGCAGTTCATTTCTTCTTTCTCTTAATCGTGCCCGTGTCACCTTCGGTTCCGGCCGCCGTCGTTTTGTTGTTCCGGTCGGTGTTTTGCGGGTGTACTACTCGTGGTATGTTCGTCCTTTTGGGTTGCTTCTGCTGTTGCTGTTGCTGTAGGTGCTGTGGGTGCTGGTGCTGCGAGTTCTGCTGCACCGAACTGGCTTTGATGACGATCCTAGGCTCGACGGGTTTTTTGACGGTTAACGTCATGGCCGTTGCTGCCTGTACCGCGGGACAAACTTTGTTGGGTACGCAGGGCACCACCAGGGATTTGTGTTCCTCGGGTATGGTGTCCTGTTGCGGTTGCCTGTTGAACGGCCCAGCGACGGTCATGGCGTCCGCTTTATCCTTCTTCCTGCCCAGCGTCGACGACACCCGGGGGGGAGGCGGTGGAGGTATTTTTCCTGACCCCTCTGGTATTCCCGCCAACGGTGGAGGCAATGACAGTCTACGCTCATTACCTGGACCGCATTGTGCCGGGAAGTCCGGCAATACTTTTGGGTATTTGATCCGGCGGACACCACCACCGCCATCCGAACAGCAGTCTACACCGCCGTTGCCACCATTCATCGCATACTCCTTGGATGTAACATTTATGTCTTCGTAATGCGAGCTCGATTCGAAGCTGGCATTTTTTGACGAAGCCACGGCCAACGTCTTTGGCTTGCACACCTGCGAAACAAAATCGGTTAGGAAAAGAAAAGATTGACATTTCAACTTAATTTTATCTTTTTAATTAGAATGCTAATGTTTGGATAACCATATTTATTACAAATTAAAATATTTTATAAATATGCAGGTACCTATGTGGCTATGTATCCACTCAACATTATAACTGCTTTCTAGCATTTATAACACATATTAGTTATATTAGATAGGTAATGCTATTAATATATTCTATTTACCAAAATTATAATTTTAAGTGGTCAAGTCATGATAGTAATAGCTTGCAATAGTTATTATGATCACCCCCTCTCCATAAAAGATTTAAATAACAAAACTAGCATAGAAGTTATGACTATTTTTCCTTAAGATAATATATGCATTTATATTTTTTTAATTATAATCAAACAGTCAATTCTACACACAGTTTGTAGTGTGATACTAACTTGGGTGTAAAAAGGTTCTTTTGGGATATCTCGCGCCGGTTCCGATTTTGAGTATCCATGAGTGACCTTAATGCCGGGTCTCTTCTCTTTCACAGCGGGTTTCAATTGAATGCTAGTGGAACTCTTGTGCAACGTGTCTTGCGAAGACATTAATAAGTCATCACAATCGTTGAGTGCGTCGCTTCTGGTCAAAGTTTTTTTGTTAATCGAACCCAACGATAGCGATGGTTTTATTTCTACTCTTTCTAAGTGACCCATCGCGTCCATCGATTTCGTCAGCTCTATGGGCGTTTGTTTTAACACACTTATCGTCCGGGCTGCCGGCGTTGCGTCAATACCGACAGAAACCTAAGAAGACAAATACATTTATTAAATTGTTATATAGAAGAAAAAAAAAAATGAAATACTATGTGATAAATTACTTTATTTCTAGTCTTTTCAGCTGCTTTATGAGCGTCTGTTACTTCAGATTTTTCAGCCATCACCGACGGGTCTTCAGCACACACTAACTGCCTTTTTTTATCTTCCCTCCGCTGTCTCCTCAAAATTCTAGGGGAATACCGTTGTATGATCTCCGTGTTAATCCACTCCTTGACTCGGGTGTGTGGGTCCATAGTTATCGTGCTACTACTTCTTTGTCTAGATATTTCCGCCCACTTCCCCAACCGTTTACCACCGATTGCCTCTGGTTTTACGCTGGCCAACGCGACTGAATCGTACGCTTGGTTCTTGTTGAACTTGTGCACGTTGGATATTTCTGGTTCCTCTGCAGTGGTTTTCATGTACACGTCGTCCTGCTCGTCGTCGTCGTCAAACGTCCGGCTCGTGTTCGCACCGTTGCATCTAAACCGGTTGTTGAACAAACGTTCGCGAACTCTCAACTTATCCCTCTGATAGTAAATTCCGCCAAATGCGCAAATGTTGACCAACAGAAAAAGTATCCCGATGATAATTATCAGAGACACGACAAAAGAGGACGACGCTTCTACGGTTTCCTGGACCGTCTTATCGGATGGTTCAGCCGAAGGCTCTTCGCCAGGGTTGGGTTCTTCTGGGAACTCATCGGGCTTTGTCATTGGATCGTCTGGCATCAATGTGGGCAAGCTGAATATTGGTTCGCGATCTAGCCACGGAGGTTGGGACTCTTTCGGTATCACAGGCAACGAAGAGTACGACGGCTTAGACTGTTCTGCATCTTTTTGCCGTTCATCTTCAATTCTTTGTGGAAGATCTACGTTCCAAAATTTACACTTACTTGTTCTATAATTCACTCTTTGCCTATTCGTTAAATCTGAAACCGTTGAAATATAACAATCAAATTATTAGAATCGATTAATTGAATCATCTTAATATTAAATAACGTATTGACTGACTTAGTTCCAAGTAAGCATGATTTGCAGTATTGTATTTCGGCCATCGTACATTATTCATTTTCCATTCATTTTGGTATGATTTTTTTGAAAAATTTGGGTCTCTAAATACATATAAATTTGTATTTTTTTTTCGATTTTGTCTTTTTTTAATTAAGGAGTTATAATAAAAATATATAGATAAATTATTTTTACCCTGTTTTAGCAAAATTACTCCAATGAGTCATTATCATTTCTGATAATCTTTTTTCCTTTGGATCATATTGAGTTTTAAGATGAATTGTATTACCACCCAATGGTACACCCAAAGCATACGGTAAATCTTCACCGTTTATACTTTTTTTTACCTATAATGTAATGAAGGGATAATATTGTAAATAATATAACAACATAATATTCAAACAGTTTGTCTTATATCGTTTAAAATTGAGTTTACCACGTCGTATTCGCTAAAAGTACTTCTATGAGTAAAAACGTAGAAGTACGTGTTTTCGTTGACCTCTGACTGGATTTCGGCAAGTTGTGTTAAAGGGGCTAAAACCATGGCATCACTTAGAATATCCAACAAGACATCACGATTTTCCAGAGCTCCCGATGAAGACCACGTTCGATTACGGTCGGTGTATTGTGCTAAAGTGGCCGTAAGAGTGAAATCTGGAAAAAGCTTTGGAAAACAATTACCATTATAGATATATAACATAAATATATTTAAATACATGAAGAATAAAAAAATGTAGTTACTGACTTCGAACTTAGCTTTCATGTAATCCAACAATACTTTGTTTTGTTCGTTTTCTAACATACCATGCGCTAGTGACACGCTATCTAGCAAGTGGTAACTTTCATATTCTGTGACGCCGACTAGGATTTTATAACTGAAAATTAAATTTGATAAAAAATCATGATTGTATTTTGTGTATGTGATTATTATTATTATTATGATTTATTATTATTATAATAGTATAATATATACTTTTTCATTAAGTTCTTGTGTTCTTTCAATAACGGCAGTGGTTCATTGGTAATCATCACGCCATCGACCATTGGACCGAACACGGTGACGAACGGCGGTAAGTACATCTTGGTCGACACCAGATCCGTAAACCGTTTCCTTCTCAAACATTCGAAAAATTTCTCGTTGCCACCTGGCTCGCAGTTCAACGACTGGCCAACTTGTATAGTGTTCATGATTGGATTTTTCACCCACGCCCAATCGGACAAAGCTGAACCACTCATAAGTATAGCTCTTTGGAATAAATCTGGCAGGATTCACACAAAAATTGAACTCGTTTATAACAATAAAATAAAATATAATATATTATATTACTGTAATACTGTTTTCAAACAGGTTTAGATTAAAACTCGATAGCATTATAGCAATATAGCATTAATTTTATTATTATGAAATCAATGGGGTTTTTTTAGTATGTGTAAATTAGCATCATCTCTATATAACTCTATTACTATTACCTACAGCGAACACGATTTGTTTTTAAAAAATATATTCGTTATTTCGTTCACTGTATACTTATACAGTGTATATGTGAGTGTTACTCACTATTGTTATTGACCGGTGGCGCCATCATTAGAAAATTCGCGCAAGCTGCACCGGTACCGTGTCCCATCACCGTAACCGCATTTGGGTTACCGCCAAACGCTTGTATGTTATTCTTGATCCACTCTAAGGCGGCCATTTGATCTAACAGGCCGAAATTACTAGCAGGAATGTCTCCACCGTTGGACTTTAAAAAACCTACATGAATATATTCAACAAAAATACTATAATATTTACAGTAGCAATATTATTATATAATACACGTTAGTACGCTACATGAGTAATATCGATCTGGTCCTATTCAACACCGACAATAGTGAACAAGCAAATCTACTACAGAGGCGGGATATATTATGCCATAATGGTGTGTAAATACAAATACTATATTACCTTTACTCTTTAGTACCTATATAATACAACATAACATAATATTATAGGGCGCCCACAGGCCACAGTTAACCTTTTCAAAAAGGTGTACGATAATTGGGCTACTACAGTTTTACATTTATAACAGGTAGACCCGGTGATTGGGGCACTATTTTCAATGATTTTTTATTATTGTATCCGGTAATTGGACCACTAAATTAATATGTCCATATATAAATTGCTTATTACAAATTTAAGTACCTATTTTCGTTAGAATCTATTTATGTTGACTTCGCTTTTGAATTCTGTGCAAAGCATTTTTTATTAATTATTCTTTATTCATAGTTAGATATAAAGGTAATTCATATGTTCCTTTAGTATTTTGTCTACTTCAAGACAAGTAAAAAATACTTATATAAAAACATTAAATTAATTATCATTTATCATGCTCTGATCATGGTTTATATTTTAAACCAACAAAAGTAACTGTCGATTTAAGAATTTCATGAAGGAATTAAGCATAGAAATTGTAGGCTGTAGATTTCCCGTTGTACAATCACGGTGCCTAATCTTATGATTAGGATGTAGTCTTATGTAAAGAATAAAAAGATAAGACTTCTGAAATACCAAGGTAAATGGCTAGGAAATATATTTGGAATTCCATTTTTAAATCTAGAAGAAGTAGGTAAGTGCGTTGCAATGGATTTTATAAGTGAGATGCCACAGAACAATAAATTAACAATATTTTCCGATTTTGACACTTAAATTTGTGACGATACTATTTTCCCACCACGTATTTATATGTATTAGAATAAAAAAAAATTAGTTAATAAGCTTCATATATTCGTATATTTTTATGCTACACATTTATGGCCCAATCTCCGGGTACACTTTAAAAATATAGATTTCATTTATGGTCCAATATCCGGTAGTAAAATGTAAGCAAATTTTTTATACGAAACAGGTAGATAAAATGTGGCCCAGTTACCGACCGCCCATATTATTATTGTGTGATTATTTTACTCGGAAGAATCAAGAAATCGTGCATTAACGATGAATGCATATAATATAATTATAGAAATCGTAGTTGTCATTACCGGCATTTGCACTGTACCTATAAACCATAATACAATACCATAATCCTGCCCTTATTCCAACTTATATTTGGACCTAACAGGCAATTTAAATTAAATAATTATATTATATTCTTTCCATGATGTATAACTCCCACGCCACAAATACAAATTGAAAAATAAAAAAAATATTGGTTTTCTTGTATAGTTTTTTAGGATTTTTGTGACCAAGGTTAGATAAAAGATTTTCCGATTCAACAACCTTATAATCCTATCTAATAATGTCGTGAAACATTAAAATAATAAACACTTTTGTCATAAAATATATTACACATTTACCTTCCAGAGTAAGCTTTTATCATCTTATTTTGGCAATGGGTAAGAGTCTTTAGCATAAGACCTGCTACTATCGGCCGCACAAACGTACGCGATGTCAGGTATATTATATTATACACACTAGGAGAGAGCAGGACTCACCTAAAACGCCCACGCGGTAGTTAATTGTAATAAAAATAACTTTTCCGTAGCTAGCTAGCACGGAACCGTCGTACGGGTTGCCAGAGTTCCACTCAAACGATTCCCCATGAATGAACATTATCACAGCGTACTTGCTCTTCTTGGTGGTTGTTTTGTAACCGTTTCCCGCTTCATCGTTCATTTCGTTTTTTGGATCTAAAAAAACAAAAAATATATTATGTAAATTGTATTTAATATATTACATGACGTATAACATTTTTGTTCAACTGGCTGCAGGTTATTAATTGATCGTTCTGTATATGTATAATATATACAGATTATATATTATGTCTATAATCTATATAGTATGATGATTGATGGCTCTCGTTTACCTCAGTAAACGATTATAGCCTATAGGTAATATTGTAATAATAATAGAGTAGTAAGTACAGACTATCTTCAAACTTTTAACATTGGAATACATCGAGTAACCAATCAGAAACACCAATCACGCATGCAAAATATTATTAGGAGAAAATGTATAAACAATTATATTTAGGTACACTTAAAATGAAAATAAATAGTATTGTGTTAGTACTACAATATTTATAATTTATGTACACAATAGGTATTATTTTGAAATTTCACTTATCCCAACAGGGACTTATGGATTTTTCAATAATTATAATTCAAAAGAGTCACGGATTACCGGTTTTATTACTCTTAACTATTGCGTATAATATGATGGATATTATAATTCGCTATAGACTATAGTCTATATGTATATCGTACATAGTATACCTGATAATTACAATCAACTAATAGTTACGTAATTTATGTTATGTTTTTAATCAAGTACCGCTATTAACTCGAACCGCGAGTATATTATTTTTATAGGTTACTCGAATACATGATTGACGCTGTCTCAGTGTTATTTTGTTTACCGACGTGGTAGAGTAAACATTAGCTTTTCGTTCCGATTGAGCTTTAAATAATTTGTTATATGCGTGGGGAATATACCACTACCACCGCTAACCAACGAGTATAATGGCCAACTTACAGACGTGTAGTTTTTCTTTACTTTATTTATCTCACACTCCTACGTATTTTGTTCCTAATAAATATTTGGCCTATTCCCAATCAAGTTGGTTCTTAAGCGAATATAGACTTATTATAATAGGATGATATAAACACACATCGTATATATAGGACAGGTGCAAATCATTAAAAACATTATAAGTCTTTTTCTATGAAAATTGGCAATAGTCCCCCATTTGTCTTCTCCTTTTCGAAAATGACTTTGATACCTACAAAATATTAGTTATGCCTAAAATATTATAATATCTCATTACATATTCAAAAATAAAATGTGGTACCTATTTTAAAAAAATATTAAATTATTGATATAATAACATACCTGAATTGACTATAGTACTATATTTAATATTATCTCTTGCTTATACATATAAGCGTATACGTTTGTAGATAAATTACTTAAAGTTTAAACAGCAGTATTAATTTTGATTTTGTTTATACAAGTTAAAAATAGGTAATAAAGTAGATATGTAAGTATACGACTGCAACGGTAAATGTATCTATCATGTTCATGTATGTATATTGACATATTGTATAGAGGACTAACACAGATACAGAAATATATAATATAATATGTATACAGACATACAGTAATTTGCTTATGTAATTTAAGTATTAATTGGACGGTATATACATATCTTCATTCTTCACAGTTATTAGTTTTATCTAAAAAAAACAATACTATTTCATAAGAAATCTATAGTAAGTTTGCAAATCTGTAGAGAATATTAAACTTTATTTTTCTTGATATATTTTATACAGTGTATATATGGACTGTACATATTTTACGACTGCGTAACGTGCAATTGACAAATCTTTGTGGTACGCTTAAAATTTAATAATAAAATGATAAATTATGAATCCTTTTTCAATATAATTTTATAGTCTTTAATATTTACCTATTTATAATGTATTTATTCGTATTTCGTTGAATATTATGAATCATTTTATTTAATTAAGTTCGATTGTAATATTTATACATGTATGTACTTAATGTACCTATATACATTTTGACATTTTGTATTTGCTTTTCGGTGGTCTCGATAATCACATTCAGCTCAAAACTCCAAAAAAGTAGATATTAAATATATTTAAAGTACCTACCTACCTACATATTATATTATAGATATATAGGATAACGGTACGTCGGTACCGCGTTTTTGCGTGTGTGGCGTTGGTTATTGGTTACCGTGTGATTATTTTAAGAGCAGCAGACTCGACCGATGACAGATTTACACAGAGTCGAAGAAAAAAATAGGATGCCACGGATAAACCGTATGATATTTTGGCAATACGCTTGCGTACAGCAGTGATATACTTATATAGTTATATGTGAGGTGTGTGCGCAGGTTATTTACGAAAGGAGGTGTAACTCCACGAAAAAATGTCCGATAAAAGGTATAAGGTAAACAAGAAAAATATAGTAACATAGTAATCCACTATAGTAATATTTTACTCGTTTGACAGTTTTTATCCAGATGCATATTATAATAGTTCTCAGGATTTGATCACGGGACAGGCGACAGCTATATATGATTAAGTATAAAAAAAAAAAATATACCTTGCTCGATCAACCACAATTTATAGACTTAGTTCTCTTTTGGGATCTAAATATTTATATTGACATTGGAGTCGAATCTCTGTGGCCGAGGGTTAATTTAACGTTGGAAATAGGAATCATACAAATTATACGGTTTTTTAATCAAGTCATCATGATGATGTTCTTAGTAGCAACAATTTTTATCTTTTATTTCACCCCCTTCCATTTGGAATTGACAGGATAATGTATAAGCGAGACTTGTTTTGTAGTTAACGCTATAAGTGTTGGCAGGGTGGCTTCTTGTATTCACTGCCTCGATTCATAATTATAATTCCTTTCTTATAATTAGTATTATTATATTATAATATTATTATTATTATTATTATTTGTTTTCCAATAACTATTCGAAACTAAATTTTAATTTGGCCTATAGATTTGAAAAAAATGTATACTTACTATGTTTACCTGTAGATTATGACAAGTGTATAAATCCAGAAAATGTGTGAGATCATGATCGGATTGATGGACCCATCACGTTAATAAGCTTATAACTAGTAACAATGTTAATAACAATTCAAGAGTTCGCAACCATAGGGCGTGACTGTAAGTGATTAAAAACTTGGCTGGAGTTTGAAGAAGGACAATATATATATATATATGTGGCTTTATGATTATTGATCATCTAACTAAGGAAAAATAAATAACATAATATATGAATTAAGTACTGGTCACTGTAAATTACTTCAGATTTTTAATTTTTATGTAAATTGCTGTCTGAAAATTTTTTTATTCATACATAAATTACGTCGAGACCCGAGTGATATTAATGAAAAAACAATATTTTTCTTCCATTTTTCAGACTTAAGATTGGCCATATTAGTGTATTTAATATTTAAATGTTTAAAAATATAGATCAACAGCTCTAATAAGGTATAGTATAATATGATAATATTTTCAAATTTATAAAGTTATGAATAAAATAATTTATGCATTGATCTGTAAAACGATAAATATGTGGGTGGAAGGTGGATTTTAAGACACACTTTTGACTGATTATAATATACATGATTAACGACCATTTCCAACAAGGGACGTACGGGAAATGGAACTATACGTAGCCACGTAGGTACCGATTTACGAGTAATATTTTGTATTATTTATTATTATTATCAATTTTTTTTCGCTGAAAGACAAAACACGTCATATATGATGGCGGCTTACGTTTGACAACGCAGAAGCCGTTTCGGTCCACGATTACCATCTGGGACTGTCTAAAAAGTTATAAAAAATACACATACGATATTTGTTTCCTAATATATATTATATATAATATCGTATATATTATATTTATACGGATACCAACATATTAAATGCACTTATACGATTACACCAGTATAATAATATATATTTATATATTATATGTAATATTGTATTATAATATAATATGTATTTACTTATAAGTGTGAGCAATAGTCTTATTGTGTCCACCTATATAGTTCGAAATCCTGAACACACTCATCAAATAAATACACATTTTTAGATTAACTTGTTTCACTGTAATATTAAACAGCTGAGTAAAATGGATTCTTATCCTGAACGTGACATTTGTTATGTTATTCGTTAGGAGTGGTTGCATGATCATTTTTTATCTGCAGTTACGCCAGAGGTATTCAATCTTTTTCATTCCGCGGCTTCTTTGTGTGTTAACAATATTTTTACGGCTCCCAAATTATTATGAAAAAATGAAACAATACTAGTACAATATTGTAGCCAATTTGGGTGATAATAATAATGACTTTGGTACTAGAAATACAACTTCAAATAGTCGGGTAATGTGTTTCATTATCGTTTCCATAATCACTTTAATGATTATAAATAACAATTATATTAATTATACTTGACCTACATTCATTTTGGTTTCAGGTACTTTGACGAGGCTTCCTTCGACGACTCTCTCAACGCCCCTGGGAGCCGCGACGTACAGTTTGAATACCTACCTCTGAGTTATGCAATTTAATTTTTATGACTATTGACTACCCTCTCACTTACCTAGTACCGATTAATAGAAAATCATACAATATTAGTTAGCTGTTATAATTTCAAAGTCAATTGTTTTAAATCAGTTACTGACCTACCAAGTACCAACCACTACGCACTACCACCCTTTTTTAATTTATACAACTGAGTAAATGTAACCCCGTTCACGCCACTGCTATTCGTTAGTAAGATGGTGACAACATTTGCTCGAACTACGTACAACGTCCTCTTGGCAGTGGAGGATCTAGGGCTTAATTTTGGGAGGGACATGAGGGGGGGGCAAAAGTACAAAAAGTTCCAAAATTGGCCAAACACAGTGTAAAACAAAGGAAAACTAATAGGGGGAAAATGCCCCGTTTGCCCTTCCCCTGGATCTGCCACTGCCTCTTGGAGTCTTGGTGGATGTTAGCGCATTATTTGTTTTCTCTCTATGACCCGCGTGCATCATAGTACATTTTACTTTCACAATAATGATTGTAAATTATAATTATAATAATTTCTAAAATTAGAGTGAAATGTCGGTCTTATAAAATTTAAAGGTAAT